TATAGCGCTTTCTTCGTGAGCTCTTGCCTTGGCGCGCAGCAGACGTTAATCCGTAAGTATACTTCCGTTCAGATAGGATATAGTGCCGCATGCTGACACTGGGTTATCAGTATATTACCTTCCCATATGGTTCCAGGCTGTCAAAGGGAATTCAGCCGTTGAGAGCGGCATTCACCTTCTACCTCAGGTGCTTGCTCTCGTTATTGCGTCCATTCTCGCCGGAGTACTAACTACCCGCATCGGCTACTACACGCCCTTCGTGATCTTCGGTATCTGCCTCACAGCTATTGGTACTGGCCTGATTACTACACTTCAAGTTGACTCAAACGTAGGCCAATGGATTGGTTATCAGATCCTGTTCGGCTGGGGCTTTGGCGGCTGTATCCAGGCACCTAACATGGCTGCTCAGACGGTGCTGCCGCGCGACCAAGTGTCTATCGGTGCTTCGCTTATGCTTTTTGCCCAGACACTCTTTGGTGCCATCTTCGTTTCAGTCGGGCAAAACGTCTTGGTCGGCCAACTATCCACACGCCTTGCCGGAATCCCGGGCTTCGATCCTCAAAAGATTGCAGGCGCCGGCGCCACCGATCTCTTGAACACCATTCCCTCTGGATACCTTGCCGCTGCATTGGAAGGCTATAATGAATCGCTGCGCGTATGCTTCCAAATCTCACTCATCATATCTTGCCTCTCCATTTTTGGTGGGCTTGGTATGGAATGGCGCAGTGTGAAAAAGCAGAAGGGGGATTCCCCGTCTACCTCATAAAGTAGTCTATAACTCGTGCCTGTTATGATGGGGATAATTATATGATAATTAGATAGTTAGTAGGGGGGTCATCCTTTTTAATCCAATATAGATTGTTCTATTCTTTTCGCAAGCAATATAAGACTAAAAGCTTTATCATTAATAGCCTCCAGAATTTAAGGGATGATTTTGCTCTGGTACGAAGTCTTCTAGTATGTTTCCAGTTTCGACCGCGAAGAATGAAGGATCCAAAGCTATGGTTTGCTCATAGTTAAAACTATCGAAATAGCTTTGTGCAGCTTCTCCTGACATCTGATCAGGGAACCCTACCGCATGGCCAATGTTCACAGATGGATGAAGCATGTCACCATTCGGGGTTGCCAATGTTGACGCGCTTGATTTGTTCAAATCTTGTCGCAACACAGCTGCGATTGCTTTTGCTGCTCTTCGCGCTTCCGTAAGTTGGTCTGCATCCTTCTCCCACAGAGCTTTTGCAAAGGTCAAGGCCTCGACGATGTCATGTCGTCTATGTAGAGAGTATGAATCTCCGGCACCGATGTGCCCATCGTCAAACCTGCTCAACGCGAAACACAGCATCATCGTAGACTGTAGGAATTCGTAATTAAGGGATATAGGTACCTTCCAACGGATGTTAAATAGAATGCCCCCAGGTTGAACCTCTTCGCTCATTCTCCTCTGATGCTCTAGTATTGCAAGTGCAGCATTGATACAGATGTCGTTATACTTCACGTTTTCTTCCCCAGAAGATCCTTTCATGAAGCTCCACCGATGGAGGAGATAGACAGCCTTCTGTACAAGGACATCCATGAACATCCCGTGCAGTATCGCAAGAGGATTATCCGCGATTGATATTTCGAGTGGTTTATATTTAAGCCATGCAGGTATGGCATCGATAGCCTTTTGAAGTTTGGAGCTTAACGTAGCAATGGTGGGTGGTGATGGTGGCCCCGTCTCAATTACATCGTATATCTCTGCCGTTACTCTGATTATTCTGTCTCTCTGTATAATGTATAAGAGTGCAGTAGATTCCGTCAACAATCTCTCGGGTGGGACTTCGTCATGCTCGACGCCTATATCATAGCTAAACAAGTGCGCGGGCGGACGCGTGTCGCATTGGGAATCCTTTATAATACGTGGCAATCCCACTTGCGTACTCGAAAAGAAGTCCATCTGGTACAGGATGATCCAGAGCCGTCGCCGGTGTTCTGCCTGCAAAGGTCGGATGTTTGGCCAGTGAGAGGGGTCACGGTGAAGGCCCATGCGTAACGCAATCCGGATAATGACACCGATAAGAATCCAATTGCTTACGGATATGTCGATGTTCACGTTCCGTTCAACAAAATAGTATAAAGTCAAGGTTTCTATAGTGTACTTACCGGGACGAAGATAATCCCCGGCGGTTAAGCAATGAGTGGTGAGGCATCGATATGTCTCTAACATATTTTGTGCCTCGGCGGCAGACAAGCCGTGAGATCTCGCGTCTTGCTGCTGTAAGAAGGCAGATATGCCCATGACCTATAAACCCGAATAAAATTGGTGTTAGTATTCATATCTTACACCTCTAGAGACTGAATATATGCCCCCAAGAGAAAGAATTGTTCGACTTACTGTTAAAGGTTAGATATCGTTGATCAAACAACACTTGAACAACAGGAGAAATAGAAATTTCGGCATGCTTAATACTTACCACTATACAAAAGCCCTATCCACATAATGGGGGTAGCAGCAGGATTACCCCAGAAGGTCTCATACTATACATAGAATAAGTAAGCAATCAACAATAAGGGTGCGGATTCTTAACCTCTGAGAGAAACGTGTTTCGGTGTAGGATAACTAGCAAGTGGTGACATTAGCTTAGTTAACGATGAATCCCAATCAACAGCTCGGATACCAATTTAAATGCTTACAAGGGCCCATCTCATAATCATTGAAAAAGTGGGATACGTGTCTATCAGCCACTCTCCGCGGAGGCATCATAGCTAGAATTTGCTCTCTCGAAAGACAAGGCGCACTGCTAAGGAGAGAGGATTTCGTGGCAGGCAATCCCCGCATTGATCCAACATCAGACAGGGTCGGCTCGGAATTCGCATTATTCTCAGAGTACTCTTCCGGATACTCCTCCAAGAGCTCGTCTTTGAGATGCCTGATCTGGGGAAATCGTCATCAGACTGTTTGAGAGACTTTCTATCGTAGCAACTTACATCGTCCAAGATCGTAACCCAATGGGAGCTACCAGTGTAGATTGCATGACTATCAGTAAGACTCAATTTCCCCATATCATCTATTATATTGCTATCCTGGTGCTGTGGGCTGGTATCATTAAGGACCCCGCTTGGCATTACACTACTGCTTGATGGTCGACATGAATTCTGCGCCATCTCAATGACTAGATTTTCAAGGCGAGTAATTCTCTGGCGCGTCTGTTGGCCTCTAGTACGAGGCCTGTAGTCGACAGCATCTTTTCGCTCTTCCTCTGAGCAGCTGTAGATACACTCCTCAGGCTTACCGCGTCGTACGCAAGCAGCACAGGGAGACTGCCTATCGCAACGAAGCCTACAAGGGGTTTTAGCACGGGCCATATTATCACCAAAAGAAACAGGTACTTACTTGCGTCCTCTGCAGAAACCGCAGCTCAAAATAGGCTTGTCACGTCTCCTACCGTGGGATATTGATTGCACCATAACTTAGATAGTCAGTTCCAGGGACTTTGCTTTTAAGAAGGAATATAGATAGAACGAGGAGAGACATGCTATGAATAACCAAGTGTTTTCAATGGACAATGGAGTGTGTTCGGGTTGTAGAGTTATTGAGGGCGGTCAGGACTAGCAGAATCCTACTTGAATACGCTGACGCATCATTATTGGATATTAAATTATTTTCTTACCTACTTCTTTTTCAATTATAGGCCCGTTTTTAGTTCTGTCCACAAGCTTTCATCATACACATAATGGATCCAAAAGGGGTAGAAATTTGTAGCTTGAAATTCGAGTAAGCTCACTATAAAGGATGATTATTAATCTTATAGAAATCTCGAGCTACCAATCTCTCAGTCTCCAGATATCTCTTGTAGTTCTAGTATTAGGTACCCACGGGTCACAGGTAGGTAGGATAATGTATAACTTATCGGGAAGTAATGGTAACTCACTATCTTTTATAGGCGTATGAATTGAAATGAAATATTTAAATTTGAAAGATTTTAAGGATCTTAATACCTAGTTAATAGAAAACCTTAGGATCTATTAGCGCGGTAAAGGCAGAGTTTATATGGGGTGCTGCTCTCAAAGATATTGATGAAAGAGTCAGCTTCAGTAAGCACTCTTGAGATTCATACTTGAATATTAAAGCCGTCGTTATCATAATTGCATCTCTAAACCGATAAATACTAGAAGCCTACCACAAACTAATATATATTAAACACGTAAATACCATTCCCACATACATTTATACATTACGAGGAGATCAGATCATTAAGTCGAATACAAACGAGATTAACAAGCTATAGGAGCGACATAATAGCTAGCCTAACATAGAGGCTATCTTTCTATGCTAGAATAAGTATGCGGAGGGAGACAAGAGTAGAGAAAGTAAATTAATTTATATCCTTCGCGTATTTCGAGGATTATGTTCGTCACATCTACGTATACTCAACTTATCAGGCTTAGTATCGTACCAGAAACTTACTACTATTATATTAATATCATGTTGCTTTATATTAATAAATATAATACCATTCACTAGGGGGGTCAAGACAGAGCGCTGAGGGCTAGTAACGACTTTCGAATTTATCAGTCAGTTGAAGGTATGAAGAGACTACAAAACAGGGTTGTTAGAAAAGGCCCACCGATTAACAACGCATTTCTCATTTCTTCCAGTTCCTACCTAAGTAAGGTACCCAGGTAAATCCAATGCTGCAAAAAGACTCGGCGGTGGCGAACCGGTCAGTTAATTTTACATAGCAATGAGGTAATCGCCCAAAACGCCAAGCCCACCTCCCCAACAACAATTGCAATACTTAAGCGAAAGCATCACCGGAGCACCAACTGCTCCTACACCGCAGACAAAATAATCGTGACTCAGTGGTTGGCAGATACGGCATGCTTCAATCCTTATCTTCGAATGTTATATCAGTGAATGTTATATCAGTTGATCAGTTGCAGACGCCGGATATAAATAGGTACATACAATATCCTACAAGTTGAATCGTAGACCGGGCGGTGTAAATCGGTAGTGATTGGCCACATCAAGAAATCTCCTCATATAGTTCCGTTAGTAGTCCGCAATGGGTTTCATTCCCATTGCAAAGATTTACCTTCCAGCCATTCACATCACGATCTATGACGTGGGGAACCGTACATACACTCCACCATGGGGGCCCGTATCGTTAATGCAAGGTGAACGATAGCACGTCCGGCTGGTCTCCGATGCCAACCAAAACTTTACTCGACTCCACCGGGACCGACAGTCGCCTTATAAAAATGCACTTTACACTTCGGCACTCCCACCGAGGGAGACCTAAGGTCTTACTAAACCTAAGGGACTTGAACTTGACCCCTCTTGCTAATTAATTATGGATCATAATCCTTCACACCCGCTGCCAGACGCCGATTACTACCATGATGTAGGCGCAGAAACGCCATATATGGGTCTAGGCCTAGAAACCGGGGCTTTCCCTTCCAGCGTTGCTTCGCCCGATCCTCTATTAGGGTCCTCGCGTAGCAGTTACTTCTCTCTAGATCGTAAAGCTCTCGCGCAGGCTCTTGGCCAGACCCCGGACGAGAGCGGGAGCAGCCAAATTGAAATCCAGTTACAGACGCGCGACGTTACCGACCACGGCCGCGATGAAGTCCTTCCTGATCCCATGTTGGAGCTCGTCAGGAGCCGAAGTGTCGCCGGACGCCATCCCGACGAGGAAACCGGCGGTAACGGAGGGACTTCCCGCCCCGGTTTATCTCAAGGCATTCCTCCCGAGCTGCCGAACTTGGCGGCCGAGATAGTCTTCGTGTTAGTGTGTTCAGCGGGACAACTCATCTTCGCGCTTACGTACGGTCATGCGAACATCGCACAGACAGCGTTGCGCGATGCTCTAGGCCTTCCGGCCACCCAAACTCCTTGGGTGCTGGGCTCCGCACTATTAGCCAGCGGACTGTCGGTCATCGTCGCCGGATCACTTGCCGATTTGGCAGCCCCGAGGCCCCTGATGGTTGGTGCCTTCTTGTGGAGCGCAGCGTGGCATGCCGTCGCCGCCGGGGCCGTATCGCCCCGACTCAAGATCTTGTTTTTCGTCTCCCGTGCTATGCAAGGGCTCTCGTTAGGGATTCTCGTGTCTGCGTCCATGAGCATTCTCGGCCGCGTCTACAATCCTGGCGTTCGTAAAACGCGCGTCTTCTCGTTGAGTACGTGACGTTAGGATGTTCCGATTTCTTGTTCCCTCCTTTGGAACCTATCTCTAGCGCTGTATTCATTGCTGACCGTAATCTTTGTAGTGGCAGCCGGAGCCCCCTTAGGTTTTTGGTTAGGTTGCATCCATGGAGGCGCGCTGGCTGCACATCTGCCATGGCTCTTTGGAAGCACAGCTATCTTCCTAGTACTTTGCGCCGTAGCTGCACAGATGACACTACCGGATCTCAGCCCCGCGAAAGATAGCAATGACGTTGATGCACCTTCGCTCCGGCAATTTGACTACCTCGGAGCCGTGCTCTCGTCTGTGGGTTGCGGGCTTGTGCTCTTCGGATTGACGCAGGGTTCTTCGGCCAATTGGAGTCCCTATACATACTCGCTCATCGCGGTAGGCCTCTTGATCTTCGTCGCGTTTGCTTTTGTCGAACGCTCTGTCAAGCGACCTCTAGTCCCGAATGGCCTGTGGAAAACCCCCGGGTTTGCAGCTCTTCTGCTGGCATATTTCCTCGGCTTTGGAGGTTTTAGTAAGTTTACACCGTCCTAATTTCGTCTTATTAAAAAAGGACGGACAAGATAATATGCTAACAGAACCCTGCTAAGCTGGCGCATGGCAATTCTACGCCGTCCAATTCTGGCAGCGCTATCAAGGCGCCAGTCCTCTCACGGTAGCTCTATACATTCTTCCGAACGGTATTGTCGGCATATTGGCAGCCTTCGTCGTGTCTAAGACACTTCACGTGTTCCCGGGGCACTGGATATTAACAGCAAGTATGATTGCTTTTGCTCTAGGGCCCGCATTCTTCCTACCGCAGACGCCATCCACATCATATTGGGCGCTTTCACTACCAGGCGTGGCGCTGGCAACGTTTGGCCCTGACATGAGCTTTGCGGCAGCCGCCATCTTTATTACTTCTAGCGTCCCGAGGTCATACCAGGGATCGGCCGGGGCCTTGCTGGTAACAGTACAAAATTTGACATCAGCCATCATGACGTCGATCTCGGACTCGATAGGTGTAAAGGTCGATCCGCTGCCGACAGGTGAAATTGGGCTCCAGGGGCTCAAGGCAATTTGGTGGTTTGGACTTGCTTCCGCCCTAACGGGAGCTCTCATTACAGCAACCCTGGTGCGGATACCCAAGGCCGAGGAAAAGGAGCATGTACAGTAAAGAATTAAGATAACGTGGGCACGTATATGGGTTACAAGGAATGTTTGTTAAATATATGGGCAATGTTAGGTACTGGTACTTATCTAAGAGTTATAACAGGAATATGCGTTAGGTAGATAAAAGCTGGGAGGACTTAGAATGAATTAACTTGGCGGTGAGTATTTAGGCGTTAGATGAGGAGTCTAGGGTTCATTATCCAGGGAGCGAATAAAAATTATCTTGATCTTATCCTAAAATGACTCCATAGACTACCTAAGGAGGTAGGTAGGCCGTAGGCTGAGTATATGTTACCCAGTATTTTCAGCCACAGGAGTTACGGTCTATACGATGTCTGCCATCTCGATACTAATACCAAAAAGGGCTGATTATCCTAGCCAGTCAGTGTTACCAAGAAGCCGAGGAGATATGAGAGTCCTGTTGCACCGTGAGGATCTGCTTCCCGTGGTATAATGGCCGGTATAGCAGCCCCCCTCGGCGGCGTAGTCCAACGGAAAGGAGTATGTCAAATGTTGTACCTCCATATGGTTTCAACGATGACTTTTGAGAGCGGCTTAAGAGAATGGTAAAAGCCTGTCGTCTAGAAGCGAATACCTACTTTGTCTATTCGTTAATGCGTCTACAATATCAAGGTACACTGACAACTTATCCTATATCGATTCACAGTCAATGAAGAAAGGAATATAACAACATAACATATCGTAAGAAACAAAACCGAAATGCGACCATACAAAGGCATATGGCGGAAGCGCGACGTGCTACCGTTTTGGATTTTACAAATCTTCTTCATTGTCATTTCTACTGTCGCCGCAGCCTTACTTTTCGTTGGCGCGTCCTCCGTAGAGCGGCAGCAGAGCGAGATCGAGATTAAGTCGTCTGGTGCCTTTACGATCGTGTACCTAGGCTATGAGGCCGATGACCTAGTCAAGTACGCGAGGATCATAGGAACTATTACGCTCGTCCACGGTGTCGGTACTCTTATCTTTGACATTGTTGATGTTATACTATACGCCGGGGGGCCGGTTGAATACAGATGTACTGCTCTCGTTCGCATGCATCAAGACTCTGATCTGGAGCGCATACTTCATCACTGCTATAATCGCCACGACAGCCGGTTCGATTTTCGGTACATTAGGTTTATTAATAGGCGTAGTACCCATGATCACGAGCATTGCGCAGCTCGTCTGGGGCATCATATATTACACGAACCGCAAACGAAACGGCCAGCTCTCAAACCGGTCTGGTCAGAATTCTGTCAGAGATGACGGAAGTTATTATATGGTGTACGATGCTAGAGACCGATGGATCTAGTTTTGAGAAGCATGGCGAAATGTAATATGAGAAAACTGCATTAGAACGTGGGGCGCATCTTCAAGGGGGTATTTTTGGAATGTAAATGGTGAATGAGCGTTTAGTGACTACCTAATCTACCTAGGTAGGTAGGTAGGTACCTAACCTGGGTTGTTTGAGTTCCTTAATAAAAATTGACGCTGAGATAAAAAGGGTAAAAGAGGGTGACGATGTACAATATCAAGCGTTTCAGCTGCCAAGATTCTAGACTTCCGTTGTTTCAACGCCCCGCGACAGCTGAGATTCTAGTAAGGCGGTATCGCGAACGTACCTAGCTGCATATCATAGGTGCTCGTATGCAATTCTAACCTAAGGGTGGCTTAGCAGACATCCTCGTCGCATCTTGAGTCCGTATGAGCCAATCAGTTATTGAGCATAGGTACTGTATTGTACATCTGGATTCCTTTCGATCAGTTTACAACGATACCTTTAGCTACCGTGCTTCCGGTAACTTTCCGTTTCGTAGTCATTAGGTATTTCTATTATTTATAGAGCTTCAAGTGGAAGTGATGTCGATATTTCTAAGCATCATTTGGTTGTAAGAGTATGTCTCGTGTAGCTTGTGGCATCATGTAGCAAAAAGAAGCGTTAGTAGGCGCAGCGGATAGCGTCAGGTTGGAAACACACTGGAAAGCGCAGGATGTGAAGGCCGGTTGTCTAATAAGCTCTGAATGGTTTCAATGTCATGCTGAATGTATGTATCGTCGTCGCTGATGTTAGTTGCGGTTGTTTCTAACGGTAGGATACTCCCTAAATCTATAATTGTATGTCGCTAGTGAGGTGCCTAAGACTAGCAGCACTTAGTGCAACAGTTACTATTGCACATACCTACAATATAGTTGATTTCGCCTTTGCTGCGCCTCTTGATTTACCGGCTTAGCCCCTGTATCAGATAACCTTACTAGGTACCCTGTTGCCTTCGGGAAACCGGCAGATTAGTACAAAGGTACTTCTTTAGTACGACCACGCAATGAAATGCAGATCTGATTCAGGCGCCTCGTCATCCTATGTATAGCCGCTTTCTGTTCTCGTGCCCCTTTTACAAATCATTTCATCCTGTTACATCTTCTTTTCGACTCTCGATTCTCGACTTTATTTACTTCGACTAATAACTTTTTGCTAGCCGTTGATAGATCGATCGCACTGCCGCAATAATATATCAAAATAATCTCGTGGCTTACGTAGCAGCGTGGGAAACAGGGAGTTGCAAAGCTTAGCATTTTTTAGCAGCTTCTAACCCATCGTTCCCGCCACTTTAAGGTTATCAGTCGTTGGTTCTAATCAATTTAATCATCTTGGCATCTCCTTGGCATCTGGGCTGGTTCCTGGGGTTTTACGTCTCGTCTCATTCTTTGTTACTTTTCTATTGCATTATTCATTCACTTCAACTCACACCTTACCTCTCTTTTTGCTAGCCGCTGGCGTCTGTCTAGTTTCCTTCTTATTATACCATTCATCCTTGGCTCGCATTGTCTTTCGTTTGCTCTTTTCTTCTTCCTTTTTTTTCTTCCATTTCCATCTTCTTGGAGTTCAGTCCATAAGATACAGACCGCGTCATCCTATTCGAGAACCCTTAACAATTTGGCTTGCTTGGGTTACCCCACGAAAACTCTTGGCTAATTCCCCGGGTACCTACGCCAAAATATCTACGATCATCTATCCGAGACCTTTTAGCGGCTGCGGTGCAACCTATTCTGCCAGATCCTTTTAGATCCGAGCTATGAAAACTGTCACGACGTTTGCGGCCGGCGCATTAGTCGCATCCGTTGCTCGAGCACAAGTTGTACAATGGGATATACATAGAAGGCAAACAGGAGCCAAGCTCGTAAGGCGACAAGATGGAACAGTTACGGAGGTTATCACCAACGAGCAACTTAGAGGGGGTTATTTTGCCTCTTGTACAGTCGGCACTCCTGCGCAGAAATTAACATTACAACTGGATACCGGATCGAGCGACATCTGGGTACCCTCGAGCAGCTCTAGCGTCTGCCAAAAAACTACCAATAATCCGGGCTGCAATCTGGGATCTTGTAAGTGACTACCGGACGGGTAAAAAAAAAATAAAAATAAAAAAAATAAAAAAGAGACATCTTGAGTTCATCATAGCTAACTAAACATTCTTGATCCTTCTAGTTGACGAAACCGATTCTACATCCTTCTCCGTCGTGGGGCAAAATCAATTCAGCATTTCTTATGTCGATGGTAGTCACTCGAAAGGCGATTATATCGCAGAGACGTTTGGAATCGGCGACGCCACCTTGACCAATTTAACTATGGGTCTTGGCGTCAATACCGATATCCCGTACGGCCTCGTTGGCGTGGGATATGTAGCGAGCGAGGCTATTGTCGGTACTACCCGCTCTACTTCTTCTACATATGACAACCTCCCGGTAAAGATGCAAAAGCAGGGACTTATTGCTACCAATGCGTATAGCTTGTGGTTAAATGATCTAGATGCGAGCACTGGTAGTATTTTGTTCGGCGGAATCGATACCGAGAAGTACCAAGGCGACCTTACCCGAATAAACATCTACAAAGCTTCGGGCTCCGATGTTTTTTCGTCCTTTACTGTCGCTTTAACGTCTGTGCAAGCGTCCTCTCCGTCAGGAACCGACTCCCTCTCTTCCGAGTTTCCCATCCCCGTCGTCCTCGACTCTGGCACCACATTCAGCTATTTGCCAACAGACTTAGCAGAACAGATCTGGCAGGAGGTGGGCGCCAGTTATTACAGTGAAGCGAGCCTTCCGCTGCTCCCCTGTAGCATGGGAACTAGCCAAGGTCACTTCTCGTTCGGGTTCGGTGGTTCTGGCGGTCCAGTCATCAATGTCACGATGGACGAGCTTGTTCTGCCCCTGAATGGTGTTAGCAAGTTTAAAGATGGTCCAAACGCAGGGGAAGTGGCCTGTCAATTCGGTATCCAGAATTTCAGCAGCAGCAGTGCAACGTTCCTTCTAGGAGACACTTTCTTGCGATCGGCTTATGTGGTCTACGACTTGGTTAATAATGAAGTTGCGATGGCGCCTACAGATTTCAACTCGACTGCATCTAACGTTGTCGCATTCGCCAGTCTTGGTGCTCAAATTCCTTCGGCTACCGCGGCGCCTAACCAAGCCGAGGTAACCCAGAGCAGCTCTCTCGAGACACCGTCGTACGGTGCCAGCGGTGGTTTCAAGAATTCTGGCGCCTCGCTACCGCCTCCCTTAGATTTGTCCAGGATAACCATCATGGGGGCTAGTATGAGTCTAGTGATGGTCGGCAGTGGATTTTTTTTCCTTTTCTAGAAGGATTTGTCATAGGTTCAGAGCGTTTGGGACCAGATCACATGGCGCCATCATTTATTTACCATCGTCTTTATTTACCTGTATATGTTGAGCCGAACAAGCACTTTCTGGGCTAGACTCAAGGCTGACCGTTTAACATTTGAAGTGTACATACCTACGATTCGTAACCCTGTTTATAGACTGACTGGGTTTCATAGGGCACTGGAAAACAAATAAGGGCGGCTGCAATGCTGTAGATTTGGTGATGGATGCTAAACTAGACTCAAGTAGACGGGTCTAGGTAACGCTAAGAGGAAACAAGAGACTTCATCATCGTGCTTACAAGCAAGGGTGGGCAAGAAAAAGGTCTTCATTTCGGCCAAAGTTTGTACATATCAATAGCTATGTATAATATCACTGCCTGAGTTGGATAGATTATTGATAATTACCTATCTACCTACCTAGATAATAACTGACATATTCTAGAGGCAGCAAACGATACCTAGGTAGTTTTTCAAAGTTGACGATCAAGTGAGATTAGTACTAATAGCAGATGTGCCGATACATAGTAGTACTTATGTACGTACCTGAGGTACCTTATTAGAAGCTTTAATTCTATTTCAATTGAAAATGGGGATGTGGAATTGACGCGCTGTGAGTGGTCCCTGAGGGGCGGGATTTAGCTCCCCGATAAGCTGTTATCTCTTTCCAATTGCCCCAAAAATTTCTTAGGCTTCGCTTCGTTGGTGCATATCGAGAAATACAAAATATTAAACTCCGCAGTCCACGGCAGCCAATCTTTACTTCTGTTTTTTCCTTACTCCTCGCGGCTTTAAACTCACTCGTTTCTGCATTCTATTACGTGTTAGAAATCATGAGAGTGCAGCGTGCCGTGGCTGTCCTCAATGACGGCCGGATTTTAGGGTCGAGATGCAACGCTCGATTTCTCAGTGTGGGCTCCAGAGTCCCAGGGTCTCGTTCTCCTGCTCCATTGATTGCTGCCCCGTTGCGTGTAGAGGGGAGAAGATATTTCAAGCTAACGAAGCCAAGATATGCCGCGGCTACTTCTGCTGCCGGCGCAGCGTAAGCTTCCCTGTACTATTCCGAGCATGTTGTAGGATAATAGTGAAGTGGCCGACTGACTGATGTCCGGTCGACAGGTTGAAGAAGGCTGCCGAGGACGCGGCGAGCCTTACACCTGAAGCCGTCTTTGCCAAGATGAGCCCAGAAGAAAAAAAGCGGTTATCCAGAGTGCGCAATATTGGTATCGCTGTACGTCGCAACCAACCCTATGAGAAAACGCTAGGAGGGGGTTATGCTAAACTTTCGCATAGGCACACATCGACAGCGGTAAGACTACTGCTACCGAGCGTGTATTATTCTATACGGGGCGAATTAAGGCTATTCACGAAGTGCGAGGTAGGGATGGCGCTGGCGCTAAGATGGACTCCATGGAACTCGAGCGAGAGAAGGGAATCACCATTCAGTCCGCTGCTACGTTCTGTGACTGGAAGAAGGTAGAGGACGGGGAGGAGCATACCTATCATATCAACTTGATTGATACACCAGGACATATTGATTTTACCATCGAGGTCGAACGCGCCCTGAGAGTTCTGGACGGAGCCGTCATGATCCTTTGCGCTGTCAGCGGCGTTCAGTCCCAGACCATTACTGTAGACAGGCAGATGAAGCGATACAATATCCCCCGAATCAGTTTTGTGAACAAGATGGACCGAATGGGTGCTAACCCTTGGAAGGCTGTCGAGCAGATCAACTCCAAGTTAAAGATCCCTGCCGCAGCTATTCAAATACCGATTGGTGCCGAGGACCAATTCAAGGGAGTTGTCGACCTGATCGGCATGAAAGCTATTTACAGCGAAGGACCTAAGGGAACAATTGTTCGAACTGGTCCCATCCCCGAGGACCTGAAGGAGCTTGCGGAGCAGAAACGTCAGGAACTGATCGAGAAGCTAGCAGATGTTGATGACGAAATTGCCGAAATTTTCCTGGAAGAAGGTACCCCGTCCAACGAGCAGATCATGGCCGCCATCCGAAGGGCGACTATCGCCTTGAAGTTCACGCCCGTTATGATGGGCTCTGCTTTAGCCGACAAATCTATCCAACCATTACTTGACGCTGTTTGTGACTACCTGCCTAACCCCGCCGACGTGGAAAATGTGGCTTTAGATCGCACCAAGGGTGAGGCGGAAACTCAGCTAGTCCCCTATAACTCGCTGCCGTTTGTTGGTCTAGCATTCAAGCTTGAAGAGAACAATTATGGCCAGCTCACCTATATCCGAGTCTACCAGGGTACCCTGAAGAAGGGCACTTATCTCTTCAACTCACGAACCGACAAGAAGGTCAGAATTCCCCGAATCGTGCGGATGCATTCCAACGAGATGGAAGATGTCAACGAGATTGGTGCCGGTGAGATTTGTGCTGTATTCGGTGTCGAGTGCGCCTCGGGCGATACATTCACAGACGGAAACTTGCCATACACCATGTCTTCTATGTTCGTACCCGATGCGGTCATGTCACTTTCTATTAAGCCCAAGCGAAGCACGGATGCAGACAATTTCAGTAAGGCGATGAACCGATTCCAACGTGAAGACCCTACCTTCAGATTATTCGTCGACGAGGAAAGCGAAGAGACTATCATCTCGGGTATGGGCGAGTTGCACTTGGAAATTTACATCGAGCGTCTACGGCGAGAATACAAGGTCGACTGTATCACTGGCCAGCCCCGAGTAGCATACCGTGAGACTATCAGCAACAAGGCCGATTTCGATTACTTGCTAAAGAGGCAGACTGGTGGACCCGGTGACTTTGCTCGCGTCGGTGGATGGATCGAACCGAATGAGGAGCCGGAGAAGAACAGCTTCTCTAACCAGGTTGTGGGCGGTGCTATTCCGGACAAGTTCATCTCGGCCTGTGCTAAAGGTTTCGAGGTCGCCTGTGAGAAGGGTCCTCTGCTTGGTCACAAGGTTATCGGAACCCGTATGGTGGTGAACGATGGTGCGACGCACGTCACAGATTCTTCTGATTTTGCCTTCAGCCTGGCAGCGCAGATGGCATTCCGCAAGACCTTCCCGGAGGCCGGTGGTCAAGTGCTAGAGCCGTTAATGAAGACGACCATCATGGCGCCCAATGAGTTTCAGGGTAACATCCTCATGTTGGTGAACAAGCGTAACGCGACTATCATTGACACGGAGATTGGTACCGAGGACTTTACGCTGATTGCGGACTGCAGCTTGAATGCCATGTTCGGCTTCAGCACGCAGCTAAGAGCGGCCACACAAGGAAAAGGAGAATTTAGCATGGAGTTTTCTCATTACGCACCTGCGCCGCCGCATCTACAGTACGTTTTTCATCCCTTGCTCTATATGCTAACTCTTTGCGGTGAATATAATGTGACGGGCCTCGCTGACAATGTACCTACAGGAGAGAGTTGGTCGCCAAGTACGAGAAGGAGCTTGAGGCCAAGAGGACTAAGTAAATTTCGTCTATCGACGGAATTCCGTCCTAGGGTGGGATGGCTAGGAGATGGCTCTCAAAACACATCCGTATTGAATGCATTCGAACATGCTCTCACCTGAGCAAGCGAATGCTTCTGCTGCCTTATTATTGGCGACTTGGTCAATTTAGGGGAAATACTTCTAATATTTCGACCAAGTTGACCCATACCCTAGAGTCGTGACTGTAATTGGTTACGGGGTGTATAATATAACGTGATGACATACTTCGATATGCAAATAGAACCTGTATATAAAGTATCTATGCGCAACATCGACACTGGGGATATGACCGGGTGGCTGGGTACGTCTGCGCCCAGCCTGGTGCTTACGCTCATGAAGAATGAAATGAAATGAAATGATTTCGGAATCTACTTCTAAAGAGCGAGACTAAATAGCTCGGTGTATAGAGTATGAGACCTAGGATAGGAAAAAAAATAAAAACTTCTTCTCTCCAGTTTTGTCTTTTCATAACGATTTGAAAGCTTTTGATTGGTATCATTAAGTCTAGATCATAACTTTTAGTATGCTCTCCTTGATTCCTTTTTTGGCCCCATTTCCTTTTCATGTTCCTCATATTCAACAGGACAGACGCTCATCGTAACTTACTATATATACTTGACCAGCCTCACTGAGAAATAGAGTCAATGTGTATTTACAGCTTCTTCAGAATATCCTGCACAACCTCTTCCGTCGTAGCCTTACCACCCAGGTCGGGCGTCAACAACTTTCCCTCCTCGAGGTTAGCATCGACGGCAGCGTAAATTCTCGCCGCGGCATCCTCCTCATTTAGAAACTCGAGCATGAGCGCAGTGCTGCGTAGAGTAGCGATAGGGTTCGCGATGCCCTTACCCTCGATGTCGGGCGCACTACCATGGCACGGCTCGCCGATTGCGAAACCCTCGCCTACGTTTGCCGAAGGCACTAATCCTAAAGAGCCGACGAGAGCTGCAGCACCATCAGATAGAATGTCACCGTATAGGTTTGGCGCGACGATGACGTCGTAGGCTTCGGGCTGACGGAATAGCTTGTATACCATGCTATCGACGATCTGCTCCTCGATTGTTATGGCAGAGGCGAAGCGCGGTGCGGACAGAGCGGCGCGCGATGCGGTGCGGAAGAGCCCGTCGGTTTGGGATAAAACGTTGGATTTGTGGGTTATGGTTACGAGTGGATGCGAATGGATGGACAAGGAAGAGGAGGAAGAGTCGCGGATCTTCTGACGGCGAAGAGCGATCTCGCCAGCCATAGTGGCAATGCGACTGGATGCGCGCTCTGAGATTCGCTTGATAGCCTCGGCGTACTTGCCGCCCTCACTATCGGGACGCTCAATGGTGCGCTCCTCCTTTACGTACAAGTCTTCGGTGTTCTCGCGTACGATGACCATATCGATGGGCTTAGCGGCAGTACGAACGCTCTTTACAGGGCGCACATTTGCATAAAGGTCGAGCTTCTTGCGCAGAGCGACGATAGGTGAGGAGTAGCCTTTCACGGCCTTGGTAGGCGAAGACACGGCGCCGAAGAGCGCGCCGTCGCACTCATTGCGCAGGACATCGACGGTGCGGTCGGGTAGAGCGACGCCCGTCTTCTCGAATGTCTCGAATCCGGCGTATAGGTCAGAAAACTCGAATTTCAGCCCAAGCGACGATGGGAGGGCCTCGAGGATCCGACGGCCGGCGGGGATGACTTCGCGACCGATACCGTCACCGGGGATGAGACCTGTTTGCGGAGCGATTGAGGGTTAGAGTGTATGTGGTTTATTAATTGGTAGGAATTCCAGGGTCTATATGAACGTGTAGTATCTACTGACCTATTCTAAGCACGCGGGAGGCCATGGCGCGGGTTCAATTGAGTTGCGTATGGTGCGTGATGTTTGGTTAACAAGCAAGTCGCAAAGCAGGTAGTAAATGAAGCTCAACGGAGCTTCCGTCGACAAAATTTCTGGTGGTGGGGTCTATACCCTGGCCGGGATCGGAGGGATTATTTCAGGGGGTTACACGAGTATGTTAGGTACATTACCTAGGTATGTACATATGTACATCCCCGACGTATTAAAATAGCCTATCGCTTGCCTGCAGCAAACGACCTTAGCTTGTAGATGAAGGTTCCCTCAGCTACCTAGTTTAGGTACATGTATGGTTCAATATGTATATGTAACCTAAGTACTTAGGTAAGTACCTAATGTACCTACCTAATCAACGATGCAGCACGGCAGTTTAGACGCAACATACGGATTGCTACTGAATTATTGCATCATTGACTATCGGCCACATGCGTACACTCATTTCATAAAAAGCATTTTTTCCCTTTTTTTAAAAAGAGGGTTCTCGCTCGGGCGTCTGCAGTTGCGTACCAGACATTTCTCCTTAGGGACCATTCGTTAATACTCCGCTGCATGTTATGATACTATGACACCAATGACATTTGAAGATCTGAGCTGAGAGAGGGGCGTGTGTTTGCCACCAATGAGGGCTGGACCTGAAACATGCTATTCATATATCACATGTGCATTTATATTGATTTGTGGTTTTTTTGGTTTTGGAAAGGTGCCCTCGACTCAAATCAAATTGATGACTTAACTGATGCATGTAACATAAGAGTTTATAAACTCCGTAGCATCCGTACGACTGGATCTTCGTAGCTTATAATACGGGATTGCTTTTGTAAGCTGCATAAATTTCGAGCCGTGTCATTTGGTACCTAGTACGACAGTGCGGCTCTAGATATTTCTTTGGGTATTCAATGTTCAATTTCTTAAACCACGTCTTGGCTTGGAGCTATTGATCATTAGATTTTATGCATTGGTGCTTTGTACCATCTGTGCACTTGTACTCATTAGGTAGGTCAAATAGTGTTTTCTTTTTTTCGTCTGTAAGAAATTCTAGAATTATTCTAATTGGGAGTTATAAGTGCTTAATATAGATATTTAGGTAATTTAGGTAATTTAGGTAATTTGGTAATATTAGCTAAGTTGTTAAATTTATCAGATAGACATCTGTCCTGTAAGAAACTCCTTCCAGAGTTTAGATCACTTACACGTAACAATACAATACAATACTACATACCTATGTGAGATGGATCTTAATACCAGAAAGGAGAAGTTAGGTACGGATATCCGTGCTACATGTATGTATTACCACATGTCCACGGGTATGTACGACATTGAAATTGAACCACGATACGACCAGACTAGATGTTCATACGGACCGTACTTTGAAATTTATGTCCCAAATGTCCCAATATTCTAATATCCTAATATCCCAATATCCCAAATATCCTAGATTCAATTCAATGTCAGGTCGCCTCGGTATGCCGTTAGACACGTTTTGGGAGTTCATGCAAGCCCCTGAATCCACTTTATTCAACCGTGAAATAATTAACCCCCCCCAAAGTATCCTTAAGTATCTAGGTACTCCCCCTGCCTAACTGGGCAATTTGATTAAAGGAACCATCTCTTGCTGGTCTCTTCTTAGTCCTGCCTAGGCCGTGCCTTATTAGGCCACATACCACCAAATAATTCCCAAGCTGTCACTCGACTTCCCTCAGTTACTCTCTTAAGCTTTCCCTATCTTTCCCCCCCAGGCAACCTTCGAGAACTGTATCCTTTTACAATTGTCTTTTACAATTGTATAATTCCTTCTTCTGCCAAATGCGCATTCAACCACACACTCTTTTTTCCTTTTTCTTAGTTGCAGCATTTGCTTAATTCTAAAATAACCATAGCTTTAGTCTGCAACTAAGGTTATTCCCGCTGAGTTCATTGAACTTCGTATTTGCAGAGTCTCCTATCTTCGAACCCCTTAACGTACTTTATGTATGATTTCGACCCGACCTGGCCTCGCTCGATAGCTTGATCGCCTCTGGACTGGACAACATCTCTAAGTTTATTCACTTTATCGCCTCTCCGAGGCTCAATTCGTCTCCAAATTTCTAGGGTCCGGGACGAAGAGCTGTTAAACCAAGACCAAGACCAAAACCGAAACCAGGACCAGGTGGACCAAATAAGCCAGCAGCAAACCGATCTACCGGCCAGCAGAAAAAAAAAAAAACTTTAGGGCATGCCATCCATCCTTGCAAACGGTGTCTGCACTTTCCCGCGGTGACAATCGTTGATCCATGATCAGTAGCAACTGATCGGCTCCCTGCTTTTGTTCTTTTCTACCATAAAACCTTGGAAGGTCCATTAGTCGCAACCATGTCGGGAGTCAGGAACCTCCGTGCCATGTTCGAACAGAAGGGTGAGAACACCCCTCCAGATCGTGGAAGATCTCCTGGTCCATCCGGTATCTCAGTTGGTATGGCGCTTCCTGTATTCAAAACACCTGCTTGCTTATAACATCGCCTACTCGAATTCCCTATCCTATATATGCCCAAGTCAATTCAGATATTCATCTGCTCAACCCCACGATTGTATCTCCATCCCTCAACTCCTAGCTTTATTGGCTACGTTATCCACTTATCATTTGTTAAATTCCACCAGTTTCTTGGTAGTCGTAGCTAACATTGCATCTTCCACCACTAGGGTCTCCCTCTCCTTCTCATTCGCCTCGCCCGCTTTCCAAGGTTCGGACCACCTTTGTAGCAATCGAAAAGGACGGCCGGGTAGGGTTGAGAAGAGAGCCCAGCGGAGACTCAGTCTCCGTATCCAGTCGAAGACTCAGCGACGAAACAGACGCTAGTACACCACAACCGGTACCTGAGAAGCCAGAGGTTTTAACCGAGAGCATGGCCAAGAATGTTTCGGTCTTCAAGACGAATTTGTCTGAAGAGTCTATTCCAGAGTCGCCGATCCCAACCGCTGCTCCTAAGTCTCCTGCAAAATCCCCCCCAAAGAAGGAGAGTCGCAGTCCTTCTCTTGCCCCGAACCCAAATCCGGACAAGGTGACAGATGAGGAGGAAACGAAGACGAAACTGCTGCCAGGGAATCCGACAGAGAAGTCGGTGTCAAGAGGGAGTAGCATAGCGCCAGCGAGTGGACGTACTAGCGTATCAACAAATGGTAGCAAGACAAAGACCGCGACCGCCACAAAGCCTGTTCCAAAAGCCATTTCGACCGCAGCCAAATCTGTTTCTAAGGCTCCTAGGTCGCCCAATACTCTCAAGCCAACTAGCAGTACTGCAAAGGTGTCTTCCGGCATCCCGACCTTGGCTCCGCAGAAGAAATCGACACCTGCTTCGTCTAGGGAGCGCGATGCCCCAAAAAAGGCGGCCACTACGGCTACCACAAAGCCGGCGGCCACTTCTAGCAAGAAGCCAACACCCATTGATCTTCCTCCTTCGGGAGCCGGATTTGTGAAGCCAAAACCCAAGTCACCTACTCGACCAATTAAGTTACCTTTGTCCATTACGGCGCCTACTGCGTCTTTTGCTTCGAAGCTCGGAAACGGCACCGCAGCTCATCCTCCCAGGCAATCTCTCTCGCGAGCTTCCGGTAACGCTCAGCATCTTAACGTGAGCTCCACTACGCATAGGTCGCCTAGCAGGCAAAGCTTATCCGGTGTGAGTACCACCTCAACTACCAGGGGGTTAAAACGCGGGAATTCGGCTGGCGGTCGAGCACGTCCAAGCCTCGGACTCCCTCCGAAGCCAGTGTCCAAGGACCACCCAATTATCAAGAGAGATGGCCATGTCGACGAAAGTTTTCTCGCGCGGATGATGCGACCGACACAAAGCAGTTCTAGCAAAACCGCGGAAAAGGTGCCGGTGACACCGCCACGAAAGCAGAGCACACCATCAAGTGTTCAGAGGAAGGCTGAGGGAAGTGCAAAGAAATCAGTAACCAGGGCACAGTCTGCAACGAATAGGGCCAAGGCAGCAGTAGAGCATGCAAAGCCTGCTGACAAGAAATCCCCGACGGCAGAGGTTGCTCAGGTTGTCGTCCAGACTGAGACAGCAGAAGTAGCTATTGAGACAGCCAAGATTTCGACAGATACTCTTGTTGAGGAAAACAGTATTTCCACAGAAAAGTCCCCGGAGCAAGTGGCAGCAATTCCTGCAGTCACCGAAGACACAGAGAAGGTTGAAGATATCGAGGATTTGGTTCAGGATGTACTAGAGCCTGCCGCTGAGATTTACGCAGCTAATAGCAAAACTGAAAACGTACAAGATGAGCAACCCATATCCGAAGGCACCGATGAGGTCATTCTTCAGAGTGAGGCCGCTAGCACCACCGAAGAAGTGAAGGCTGAGGAGGAATCCAAGGTGGAAGCTATTTAAGTATACGATGCCTAATCATAGATACTATCACAGGATACCTAAGGAATCAGCCGTTGTTCTGACTAGCTAGCCGTAGTAACAAGTCAGAAGAGGCTGAAGAAAAAGGTCCAAAATTTGTTTGTATTCGGCGAGGCGCAGATGATACCTTTTTTCTCTTAAATTCATTGGAAGCATACGGAGATTCTTTTCTGTTCCGTTCCTTCGCGGTGCGTGCGGCATTGCTGAGGAGTTAGGAGATAGGTGATAGGTAGTGAAAATACCTACAGCATACCTAAACTTGTCTTATGAGTATCATGTGTATTCATATGTCGTAAAGTAGAAAATAAGGGAGTTGGTTATAGTAACTGGGGAAAGTAATAAAAAAAAACATTTATTATATATTCAGGGATAGTTATGTCTTCCACATGGTGCTGGGCAAGACATTGGGAATAATTGTGTACCTAATATATCCTGCATTCATGATTAGAGTCTTCTGCCCCTACACGTAAACGTATGGAGATGTGTCATCGGATATTTTTATGATATGCGAATAGATATAGTACAATCAAGTACACAGGTAAGCAGCTGATGCCTTTTCCTCTTTGCTTTATATACATGAAGCCTTTCTACTACCCCCTGTCTGCTTGTCCGCTTGTCCGTTTTGTATTTCGTCTATAGAACGTTGGCCATCGTACATCTCTGGAACCCGAGGCCACGCGTATGGCGTACGAGACGAGACACCACACAAGTCACAAGATGAGGTGCCGGCTCATAGCCTCATCCTCTCGCCCTATCCCTTAACAAGACTCGTTCTGTCGATTCATCTCGTTCTTAGTACTTTGTACCAACGTCCCCAGCCAGAATGCGCAAACGGCACCTATGCTACTTCTACTAACTTTAAGCAGACAACCTAGGAGCGTCTGAACGGATCAAACGAGACGGTAGATCACGGGCCTACCCGGCAAAGCAGCAAACCTCCAACCTTGCGCTCGACAGCCTCACGGACGTCGAGGGTTCCCAGACTCGTAGTCAGGATAATAGATTCGCCGAGATTCAAGGCCCGATGGGGATGCGCATCGAAACCCCGCGCAAGGCGCTCTAGCTGAGGCAGCTTAGCGGTGACGGGCCTCTTAGGCGTAGTTATAGGGCTAATAGAGCCCATGACGGGCTCGCCTCCCGCAGTAGCGTTGTACTTGAGGCCGACCCACAGGCGCTGGCGGGCGACGTTGGCGGTTGTCAAGGGCTCGGGCTCGTAGGTCGTGATAGTAGCGGGATCGGGGGGGTGACGGCCGCCGCGCGTGACGAAGGAGAGATAGCCATTTCGATGTAAGGCTATGGCTAGGGCGAGGTTATATTTTGTGTGCGGGACAGAGGTTAGGCCTAGGCGGGCTCGCGACGCATTTTGTAGGTGCGAGCACATGTTGACTATATTTACGATACCCATCTTGGAGATTGTGTGCGGTTGCAGTGCCCTGCCGGGCTCTCGGTTCGGACTTGACAGGGAAAATGAGATGAGATGGATGCAGATTTCTACGGTGCCTCGGTGGATTGGCTAGCCCGTCTCTGCGCTGGTGAGAATTATGACGGCGAGGATCTTAAAAACGGTCAATGTGTGAACAAGTGAAGCTATCCCCAAATCATTCTTTCAATGGAACCGAAAAAAAGATGTGGGTCTCAATCAATTGAAAATCTGGCGGATAATTCCAGGGCCGATACATATCTGTTTATCGATAGATTGATATTCCGTACACGGGTAGCATAAGCTACCTAGGTAGGTAAGCTTATCGACCTATAGGCTTGGTCCTTCTATTGGTTATCAGTATTACCCCGCCATCGCAGCTTCGAGGCAGGAGAGTGGGCAGTTAAGCGCCGAACAACTTCCCATTCTGCAACATCTTTACATGTACCAGTTGCAGTTTTTCCTTGATGCAGGTAAATAAGGTCGTACCACTTACTGGTTACGTATTATTTTAGAAATGGCGTCTGTAGCCCATGGAAGTGATCGTCATTTTAGTAGTGAGCTCTTTGGAGAAGCAAGTTCTACCCTCCAACTTTTTTTTTCCTTTCTTCCTCCTCCAACTCAAGTGAATTTGAAGCTATCGTCAGTTCCAATACGGACTTTGTTAAATAACAAGTAGCACTAACGAGGCTGGCCTCGACTTTTTTTCTATCTCCTATTTATACTATTCTTAATTATCGCCCTCACTTTCTCAGTTTCATTCTTAAGGCCAGCTCATGATCAAAATGGCCGTTCGGCCTGGTGAAGAGAATGTTGCGACTCTGTAAGTGCCCAAGTAGTACCGACAGTTTTATAGTTGATAATAGCTCAACAATCTTCCCCTTCCCCTTTGTAGCTTTGGAGACGTTCACTATTTCTACGGACCTCCCGAAGCGAAGCCGCCGCATCACCGCTTTGACAAAGGCTCTTACGTGTACCTGTTCGAGAATGCGAACGACCGAAGGGCGCGGATTGAAGTCGCGAATCAGCCAGGCACGGATGATCAAGATGCTTTTGACGGATGTAAGGATACTCCCAAAGCAGTATTCGTTTTGTCGTATAAATATCAACCTAACTCTCCCTCGCGATGTAGATCTAGATAGAACGAGGGTTCGGTACTCATATAAGCAACAATGTCTCGTAAACATCTTAGTCGAAGGCGTAGCCGGTACGCCGATAGATCAGAATCAGTGGCATCTTCCAACGTACGATCCTCGAAATGAGAATAAATACCACTACAAGCTTCATTCTCTCGATATCTACTTCTGGACTCATGGTGATGCCCTACAGTTCATCAATGGTGTACGACGAGTCCTACCCACATCTCAGGTGGAGGTCACAGATGAGCCTGGTCCACCACCACATCCGTATGGCCAGTTTCAAGACACGAATTCTCTAGTCCAGAAGCTAGAAAATGTTGCCATCTCAGACCCCAAGTATTCGAGCCCTAAACCAGCACCTCAAGGTATACCTACTTTCGCACCTCCTCCAACCTCCGCAGCGACAGACGGCAGTAAGAATACCTCACCTCAAAGCTTTGCACCTATAGCGTACAATCCCGCTGCACCAGCAGCCGCAGAACAAAGGATATACCGGGAAAAGACTCCCCCACCCGAGGATGACGGACACGATCCTCTCGCGGCTGCCGTGGCTCGTGATCACATTCCCCCTTATACTCCTGGGTACGGCGCGACGAACTTCTCTGCTCCGCCGGGTGGTCCCGGTCTTCCCGGCCCTCCGCAGGTACACTCTGGTCTGGCGAGTCCTGGTCTAGTTAGCCCCGGTCTAGTCAGTCCAGGTTTGCCAACACCCGGCATTGCGAGTCCGGGCTTCCCGCCGACTCAATTCGGACACCTGCAACGTTCGTCTACAGTCCCGGTCTCCGGCCTGGCATCGCCCGGTCTCGTGAGCCCATACGGTGCCAACTTCCCCGGATCGCCCGGGTTCGCACCGCCGCCGCCACCACCACAGAGCACGCAGCACCACCCTACTCCACCACCTGTTCAGAGCCCTGGTCTACCACCACCACCCCCAGGTGGATATTCACATTACAGCTACAGCAATGCGCAGCAAACACCGGGGGGTGTGGATTATAGTATCCACCAGCAACTATACCGACCAACCGAACAAGAGCACGCGTCTAAATACGAGAAATACAAACCCAAGGTCGAGGGTCAGAGTAGACTAGGCCAAAATGCGGAGCGGCTGGAGAAAGGTGTCACGGGGATGTTCAAGAAGTTTGAAAAGAGATTTGGTTGAATATTCGCAGACATATTTCTGAATAATTTCCTCTTCTAGTACTGGATACCATGTTTCTGACTCTCTCCCTCTCACACATTTCGATATTATAGGCATGGGTTGGGTTACAATATATGATATTAGGAAGTTTTCGCCCATTAGAGTTGCAATGCTAGCATGCTCAGGGAGAGCTGATCGTAAGATGAAACATAACTAAATTCGTACCGAAATTTTTGTGTGCGAATACTATGGTCCTATTATGAATATTAGCATTGAGTGCATCTGAGCGGCCACAGCTTTAGAAGACGCAATGACGCAGCTTCGACATACAGGTTTACCCTCGTGTTACGGTCTAGATAGGCCTATTGCGTAGTCATAAACATGCCAGAAGATGTGGTTGGCTTAATAGCTATGATGAATGGATAACGGATGCTTAGCTCCCTTCATACTACAAATGAAGGGACCCTATCGGAGACAAATTCCCCTTTCTGGACATAGATAGGCTCGTGGGTGCAAAGTCCTACATATGTAAAATATAAGATAATAGCTTACATGTAGGTAGGTACTTGTTTGCCAACGAAAATGCGCTGTACCTGATGTATGTCTCACCTCCCAGCCAACCAGCTGAAGTGCAGTGGATAACCGTTCCCAATCTTCCGGCTGATAATAGCAAGATCGAAGACATTGTCTAACATGCCATGCGTCGTAGGCAAGGAGACTCGTGTATGTATGTCTCGTAATGCTACGTAGCTATCTGAGACCTTTTACATTAGCTTGAACAACGCCAAGAAGGGAATATCGAAGTAAGGGATTCCGATTTGAAATTCGACATACATAGTACCAGTAATAATGGGATCTTGTCTTTCCCGTATGTAGTCACTGCCACTGCCACGACCCAAATTCCCTAACTTACTTAGCCTAACTTAGGTATCATGCAACTCTGCCAAGATTTGACCGGGGGGGGGGGCGGGGGGCCATGGCGTTTTGCAGATACTACATACCTTAGCGCAGGGAATATTCCCAGGGACCTGGCAGCCCTAGCACAATCGACTAGGGACGGAGATTCACAGGCATGGCTAAGGGCAGTCGAGAGAGGTACTGATCAACAAGGCGCAGTGGAAATTCGCTGAATCCATAGCCACGTATGGCCCGTATGGCCCGTATGGCATGTTTGGCACGTTTTACATAATATAGATAATATAGGGCTAGGTTAGTAAATGATTCCATTAATGTTGATCAGGAAGGAGAGTACCTATGTAAGGTATCCACACAGACAGGGGATGACGTATGTTAGGTAGTCATGCGAAAAGCGAACAAGAATTCGTTAATGAGATTTTTTTTTTTTTTCGAAGTTGTAATGTTTTGGCGCCCGTTGGCACAGCAGGCTACCTAAGCACCTAACCTCCATATGTACCGTTCTGTAAGTTTGAGGCAGCCCGCATAATACGCGAACCAGAAGAATCAGGCGAATCAGCCGAAGCGATGACGGCCGAGGCGTCGTATACATACTTTTCGTATCGAGAAACGTTTCTTCAGGATTGCATAAGGTCAGCTTATTATTACCGCCAAAACAAATACCGTCGAGAACTTTACACTTAGGTATACTTATATTAATGCGATGCTGCAAATATCGCCGATTATACGTAACAATATACATAATAATAAATTATCTTATACTGGACCAATCGTTACGTCGGCGTCCTTTTATCTTCCTACATCTAAAATTACCGAGAATTAGATCGGGCGATCGAATCACGTAACATCGAGGTTGACGGGTTGGCTCGTGGACTACGAACTGGGGAACCTAGTCTTAACTCTGAAGGATTTAAAGTAGAACCAGCCTCAACGGGGCTGGCAAAGTCACGGCACGGCAGCAGACTTTTGATATTCTGCCTGGTTCTCGTTTCGCTATTTCGCTAATTCGCTAATCTCTCCGTGCAATAACTTATAAGCTTTGTAGGCAATCCTAATTGCACTTGAGATGTGAAGACAAATCGATGAGGAAAAAGAATGATAGGTAACTCGGCAAATGTTTCAAAGGTTAGACAGGTTGAGACATGTAAAGTGCAACTAACTAGGTTAAGCGCTTACCGGGACTTTGGTGTGGTAAACTAATGTTTTCATTAGTTGGGAAACGCTTGAATGGATTCAATAGAAGGGTCGAGGCTACCATCAATACCTGCTTACCCTTGCCACGCTTGTGCCTGCCTTAAGCCTACCTCTAACCTACACTAAGTACAATATGTACCTACCTAACCTACTGCCTACTTTGGTGCATGTATCAACACTAATCATATTAGCAGCAAAGGTACCGCCCCAGGTGAGATGTATTAGTGTAACTCTTACCGTGTGTGTGTACCGCAGCTGCCGGGTCTTTAGACTGCTGTATGGAACCTAGCTAACCATGTACCTCGTTTTGTCCCCCCCCCACTCCGCCAGCTTCTTGTATCTTGAGACTTTCCCGTCCTCTTCTTTCCATCTCCACCTTCATCTCCGTTGCTATCTATCACGAGGTAGTTCACCATCTTCTCTTTTGTGGTCAGTTTACAGCTTTTACGACTCCTAGTCCTGTTAGTCTAATACCATTCTACCCCATCGGGCTGTTTTACTATTCTATACCCGCTATATTGCCGGCGCTTAAGCTCAAATCGCGTACCAAACCCGAAGACTATTATCTCTTTTGTCCGTCTTAACCGAGCTTGAATTGAAGACTTACATAGATCTCTTCGTAACCCCGCGCAGCATAGGAGGTATCTACTGATTTTATTCTCTCGAAACCTGTCGCTGTTGGATCAGTCTCGCGAAATTGGTTGTCCCTATTTATAAGACTAGTTCGTCATAATTGGTGCCGTCATCGCAATATTCGTGCCTAATTCTCGCCAACATTGCCGCTATCTCCCCCATCTGTGCTCTCACCTGCACCACTCCCGAACAAGATTGGCTCTTTTGGATTACCGCGGGCACGACCGATTAGCTTGCCGTTATTAATTAGTTGCGGCTTCTTGCCGTTGTCAAGCGCACGGCGCCCCGTCCTGAGATAATCTTGGGTTTGCAGCTGCCAACTCACGATATCGGGTGCGTCCCGACGGCGTCGCAAATTATCACACTAGTCATTCGTTT